AAGTGCAATTCGAAAATGTTTTTTGAAATGAAGACTTAAAAAGCATTTTAAAAATCAGTTTATTAAATTGGAATTCAAAAATGAATTTACAAATGCAGATTTAATCCTACAATTCATTAATTAAGCACAGAATTTTTTATTTCGATGCGCGTGGCTCTTGTGGTCCTCCATAGTAAATCTATAACTTGCGGCGGTGCGTTGTCCCATGTTGTCGAGGCTGCTTGTTGTGTAGTCATCTCTTCTTAGTGTGTCTCACAAAGAGTGCCCGTGTGCTGTGTAATTACAGCAGTTTCTACCTGCAGTGTTTAATACACTCCCTTACTGAGTCCTCTCCTTCTATGACACCCCCAACTCCCGGTGTACAGCTTGCACTCATTCTTCAAAAGCACTTAGCAAAAGAGGAAATTGCCAACAAATGATAGGATAAACACTATAAAAAGAAAGGCCGACAACTAAATCATCAACTCTCAATACAAGGCTCCCTGCCCAGCACCTGAACACCATTATAAGTGAGTGGCCACAAAGAATACAGCACTTTGTGCCTGTGTGTCTGCAAGCATGTGATTGTGTATTCCTTTAAGAAACCCTGCAGTCTAATTGAGAGCGGAGACTGCTGAGAGCGAGGAGGGTGACATTTCTGTCTCAGATGGGTGCGGCGAAGGGCTGTATTACCACTGTGTTAATGACGCCGTTTACTGTTGCCTGTGGAGAGCCAACAGGATGTCAGCGGGGGTTTCATGCCTAATCTGGTCTCTATGTGTGTGTGATTTTGACAGGTTTTCATGTAGTGGCAAATAAGTGAGAGCGTGTGTGTATGAGATTGCTGCTTCCAGGTGTATCACTGTCAGGTACGTCCATCTGTCAGTGGCAACGAAGAAGTAATTCACAATAAGCTTGTCATCTAATACATAAGTAAGTACTTGTTTGTATATCGATGACATATTACCATCTATAAAAATGTGTTGTTAAGTAGTCTTACATGTTTTGTAGAACCTGGAAAACATTCCAACAAGTCTGGCATGGCCACTTTGTTAGGAACGCTCCGTTAATTGCTTTTAAAGCAAAATCTAATCAGCCAATATTATGACAGCAAGTCAACGCGATTAGGCATGTAGACATGGTCAAGGCACCAAAATTGGACAAGTGAAGATTGGAAAAACATTGCTTAATCTGACGAGTCTTGATTTGTGTTGTAGCATTCAGATGGCATGGTCTGAATTTCACGTAAATAACATGAAAGCATGGATCCATCCTGCCTTGTATCAATAGTTCAGCCTGTTGGTGTGTTTGATATTTCCTTAGCACACTTTGGGGCCTGCCTGAGTATTGTTTCTGACCACGTCCATCCCTTTAGGACCACTGTGTGCCCATCCTTTGATCGCTCCTTCCAGCAGGATGGTTTCTTGAACATGACAATGAGTTCACTGTACTCAAATGGTCTGCACAATCCAGTAGAGCACTTTTTGGATGTGCTGGAACAGGATATCATCTCATCATGGATGTAAAGCTGACAAATCTGCATCGACTGTGTGAAGCTGTCATGTCGATTCGGACCAAAACCTCTGAGGAGTATGTTTTCAGCACCTTGCTGAATCTGTGCCATGAAAGATTAAGGCAAAGGGGGCCAACCCAGTGCTGCAATACTTACTAAAGTAGCCAATGAGTGTGTATTAACACTTATTTTTAGAGGATTTTATGCATTTTATTGTACAATAGAAAGCACTTAAGAAAGTTCTGGTTCACTGCATTTTCCCGAAATAGATCAAGTTTTCATTCAGTTTGTTTTATCCATTGTTCTCGATTAAAGAATAATCCAATAAAGTTTCTTCTAAAGTGCCAATAGACAACTTCCCCCCTGCACCCTTACCCTCTGCCTCCATTTTAAAGCCCCTTTTGTATTAGGCTGTTAGGCTTTGTTGCTAACTGATTTAGTAGATATAATTCCAGCTGAAACTTCTGAACCTTCCCAAGTCCTGGAGCTCTTTTCATTGAGCAAATCCCCTTCTAAGTTTCACTCTTGGTTTTAGCTTCTGTCACTATCCCTTTTTGCTCCTTTTCTTTTACTGGGTAGTTTTCACAGCTACTCTGGTTATACCGGTGTCCCACCATCTCAGCTACCTGGAGAGAGCTATCGATAACTACAGAAAAAATAAAAGCATATTCCTGTTTCAGGTGTATCACTGAGTTTTTATTTTCTTACTCGGAGGCAGACAGAATTACATACCGAAAGCAAAAGCTCATCAGGAACACCTCTAAAATAAAATAGTGTCTTTATTCTATGTATGTACATTCTGTATCTCAAACACAGATCTTATAAAATGCAGTGAGATCTATGATCTTTAAAAAATTGCAATGTATGACATGTTTTCCTCATTGTTGTTAAATGTTAATGCTAACACTAGTTTCAGAAACTGAGAACTGGTGCAGTACAAATAGAAAGCCAGAAGATGAACAGAATCAATTTTGTAACTATTACGACTATTTTCTTTATAACGTCATCATCTTACTTAAGACTTTAGTAAAAACCCAAACATTTGTTGGTTTCACGTTGCCACGTATAAAGAATTTCATACTTTTCTTTGTTGTATACGATCAACAAAGAAAAGTATATATGAAACTGAATATCTTTTTGTTTTTAACTGCTGAAAGGCACCTGAGAGTCGGCTTGGTCTCGTAAATTCAAGCATTTATTTTCAGGTTTCGCATGAAGGACGACAGGTCTGTAGTCACAGGTGTGTGTTTACCTGAAAAGACAACACCTTATCAAGAAAAACCTGCTCTCCATGGGTAAGAAATAAAGCCGTGTGTCAGTGTGAGTGACTAAATTTGAGACTAATGTGAGAGTTTTTTGGGGGGCTGATGTTTCTAAAGAGCCCCTTTATGTGGAACCACTGGCCCATCTGTCAGTGGCCCCGAGGACTTTGTGATGGTGCAACACAACACTGAGTCACACAGACGTGTCATCCCTGCTGAGAAATGGGACTTTATAAAATGAAGCCTCGTATCAAAACACAACCGTTCATCAACTAAAACCATACAGCAAATTGTCTGTTTAAAGGAATGAGGAGTTATAATTTATCTAAAACGAGTTGAAAGTTTAGCAAAAACTGAATATTAGTAAAAAAAAAAAACTAAACTGAAACAAGCCAGTATGGGTTACTAAAGCTGGCTGGCTGCCTGGTCTGAGTACAGTATAATCTCTGTTTATCTCCCCCTCTCTCACAGGACAAAATGTACACTCACCGTATTGATTTTTTCTCCTTTTTTTAAACTGGCTGTTTCGCTTGCCAAACCAGTCTAAGGAACTGAATGGCTGACTGTGTGAGGCATGTTTTTAGTGTCTCTCTTTCTGACCTGCTTAACTAGCATGACATGCTGGTGCTTTCCTCTTAAAAGCCGAGTGAAATCACCTCTCTCGTCTGGCTGAAAACACCATTAGCTCTCTGACTTTAGGGTACAACTGGTGTGTGTGTGTGTGACTGACGTGGAGATGGAGAGACATATGGAGGAGGTTTTCACTTTGGTCAGTGCTGAGCCTGCCCAGAGGGCATTAGGGGTCACCCTCCTGAACAAACCCACTGTTACCACAGCTAAGAGGCCGGGGCGGTGGGGGGGGGGTGTTGAGGTCTGCCCTGCAGGAACTGAGTCTGACACTTCTCTGATGTCTTTGTGAGGCAGGGTCAGTTAAGTATGCTGATGTGGAGATCATCAGGGAGCTTTGTCAAAGTGACCTAATAACAGGCCGACTGGTGAACATGTGGATGCGCCAGAGCAGCACCACACGCAGCTGTCACTTCTGTCTTACAACCACGCACACATATGCACTTTTTTGTATTTCATCCTCTGCTTACCTGACTAGCTCCTCGTTGTACAGGGACTTGGGTGACTCTCGTCCCAGGATGTAGACCTGACCCTTGAAGACAGACAGCTGCACTTTGCCCTCCACGTTCTCCTGGGACTTGGCGATGCAGTGTCGCACAAAATCACACTCTGGACTGTACCAGAAACCTGTAATGCAAAGGTTGGTTTAGGGGTTGTTTTTATTATAGTCCAGGCAGATGGAGAGATAAGACAAAACAAGGGCTGAAAAACAAGAAACAAAAAAAAAAAACCCTGCAGTTCCTCAAATGACCACTTGAGGCATCCACCCAAAAAAGAGTCAATCCCCATAGAGTCCCATATCAAAGATCCCATATTTAGAGAATAGTTAAACATGTGTACAGCCTATTTATAAGTAGTTCATAGATAATATTTTAATAACTTGCCAGTATTAATGGTAACAAGGCTTGGTCATGATTGGTTATTCATTGGTCATTGATTAGCTTAGTTAGCACGTTTCACTTCTATCAGTCATCACTTTAAACGGTCCCTTCAAAAATGGGAAAAGGTTTAATCAGGACCCGCCCGCTTCACATCACTAACGGTTCCCTCTCCTTCTAGTGTCTTTCTGTGTGGATGCCTTGAATGACAGGTGGATGCAGACCATCTGCTAAGCTTCACCTCTGCTAACTGGAGTCAGTGGACCCTTAGATTATCTTTGAAGTGTTTTAATGGAAGGATTTTCAACTTTGTGAACTTTATTTGAAAGCTAATTGGAACCAACTACAAGATATCAGGGTTTATGTGAGGCACTCGCATAGTGTACGGATGCACCTTGCAAACCAAGCTTAGTTAGCGTTAGCTGGTTATTTAGCTTTTCATCCATAATAAATGAAGTTCAAGGCTTCATATTAGTTCCAAAATAGCCACTGAATATCATCATGGTTGCCATGTCCACCTGTTTTATGGAAACTATAGAAAAAGAAACTATTATATGCTTAAGATCTTACCTGTTGCTTACACGACTGTGGAAAAGTGCTTGTGTTGCTGACTTTTGTATTGATTGATCACATAGCCTAAGATCTACATAAGTGCAATAATAAAACCTGGAAGCTTTTGACTTTTTGTTTCTTATTTACTTTAATGCAGTGTTAAAAATCCAACTCGGATCAAATTTGGTGGCTCTTCACAGTTCACCTGCACATGGTTTTTCAAAGACACTTGGGAGGCACGTTGATCTAAACAACTTGCTTTTCTGGGGACTTTAGTCGTCACTGTTGCTTCTTTGTTTTCATGTAAAGCCAAACTCAATACACAATCCTGACACCTGGAATCAGGACGCCTTGTAATGGATAAGTTTGGGACTAGCACATGAATAACAATTTAACATCTAAACTGCTTAAAATCTTTTCACTCTATTTTCCTTATTTATTGAATACAAGTACGGATGGCCACACAGATCTGACTGTTCGCTCTTTTATGAGATACAATTCTTTCTCTGCTCTGGTCTCGTTTCTGTCTCAGGTAAAGCTCCTTTCCCCCTTTCTTTTCTCCAATTTTGATGAGCTGGATCATCAGTCACTAAGACAGATGGGCGAGGGACACGTCTATATATGTTCAGAGGTCAGTCACACCCCACTCAGCAGGGGTCCTTCTCTCATCAGAGGCTGACCTCCACCTCATCATCTGGCCATGTTCAAAGACAATCATTCCTTTCTTTTTTGATCTTCGTGTTAGCTGCTTCTAGATGCCAGCATGGCTCTGTTAAGTGGTTATTTGAGAAGATTACACGAATTATCATTTTAAATCGCCAATCAAAGAAAAATCCGTCATTTTGGTCTTTTGCTTTCAAAAGTGATGTGAAAGTGATGCTTTAAGATTTGTCATTATAAGCCAGCAGTTGTTCTGAATATTTTGGGCTTTCTTTAAACCCCTGCAAGCAAATTTAGATTCATTTTAATCAACTAAGCAATTATTTGACCGCTAATCTGCCGTTTAGTGTCAAATGCGTCTTCTCCTATAAAACACTGTTAAGGTAAATATTGCAAAAAAAAAACAGATGCTGAACAGGTGGATTGTTAACATAAGCCCCACTACCAGCCGTCTGCTATCTGCAGAGTTATTAATGATTTAAACCCACAATGGGTTTAATCTCTGCCCTCCTCCTCAAAGTATCACCTTTGTGTGTGTGTGTGTGTGTGTTTCCTGCCTCTGGAGGGTATAACTGAAGCAACCTAGTAGTCAGTCTGTAATGGCACTGATCCTATTATGTGGATGAAGGTGAAGAGTGAGCAGAAGGGAGGATTAGGACACCTGAGCCGAGAAAAGCTCGACACACACGTGTAAACACGCTGAACATACAGCAGTGTACGGATGCATGGAGTGTGTTTGCTTCTTTCTTACAGGAACTGCACAGGAGAAAAACTGAATAAGAGGAAACAACATAATTAAGATGAGATATTTTAGGCACTCACCATTGTACACAAGTTCAGAGAACTTGATACCAAGCCCCTGTTTGATCCTCCGCACCTCTTTGTCCATGGTAAAGGTCTCAATGTCTAAGTGGGCCTTCAACAGAACTGTACCTCCTGGGGTTTCATATATCCCTAAACAAACCAAAGCAAAAATCAACAAAACAAAGTCAAACTTGCACAAAAGACTTCAGCTGGGTTTTAGATGAGAGTGCTGGCACCTTTACAAGCCTGACTGCTCATGAATATCATATTTTTAGAGGCACTGGGATAGTGCACATAATTACTTCCAAGGCATAATCTTCACAGGCCATTCATAGCAACATAAACTACAAGATCTGTTCATTTGAACTAACTGCAACCAAACAGCTACATCAGCCATCTGACAGACAGGCCTTCACAGTGCTCACAAAACATGGATCAGCCTGTGACAGGTTAGGAGGCCCCTGCCAGCCTGGAGTCTGGACCAGGGCTCTGACTACCCTGCAATTTACCCCCTCTGGACAGGGAGGGAGGGAGAAAAGATGAGGTAGATGACAGGAGAAATGAAGCTGTCACTTAAATGTCAGGTAAAACAAAAGGAGGGCAGGCAGGAAACTGCTATAAGATCTGACCGTAGGAAGAAAAAAAAGAAGCTCTATCAGTGCCATCAATTTTGGAGCGAGCTGAAATTTTGAGAAACTGTGAACGCGGTTTTTTCATTCAATACAAGGTTCCACATGTCTTTTGTCAATTTGAATGGCAAGCGCACTTTCGATTGGAGCAACGCTGCCTAACACACACTTCACTACAGTTTGTGTGATGTGCTTCTGGCTTCAAAGCTCTTTCCTGAGATTTAACAGATGAATGCAACTTAAGCTCTTCCAAACTCCTGAGTGTCCGAATCCGAATCTGTACAAGCCTAAAGACTGCTGATCTGAGAAGCATTTATTTTGTGCTGGCAGGTAAAAAAAACAAAGCATTAGTGACGCCGCTAATTGTCTAAAGCCTCAAAAAGGCTGCCACCTGAGCAAGAGCAGCTTGTGGCTTTTTGGAGATCCTGGGCCACGGAGGGCACGTAAAGACATTTCCGTTCTAGGCTCGATCAGATAAATGAGTTAAAACTGCCCCCGAACAAAACTCGGCTTAAGTGCTCCGAAAACAGAACTAGCTTCACGAAGAGTAGGAAACAATGAAACGCTATCTGGTTAAGCCCCAACAGTGGCAGTTTAGTTAGGCTTAAAGAAAGAAAATCCAGTGGCTTTGAGGTTTATACAGTCAGTGCAGGTATGCTAACCATGGCTGCAGGGATTCTGGACAGGAATTTATTCTTTTTAAGCTGATCCTCTTTGACCCTTCAGGCAAACTGTTAGCTGAGCATAAACAGGTAGCGCAAGCAAGCGAATAAAGCTAAATATCTTCTAGATCAGGGGTGACCTCCTCAACATGTCCTGAAGTTCTCCAGAGGCTTGGTAACGAACTAATCATTTGATTCAGGTGTGTTGACCCAGGGTGAGATCTAAAACCTGCAGGACACTGGCCCTCGAGGCCTGGAGTTGCCCACCCCTGTTCTAGATCAAGATGAGCTGGTTAATTATTGGTGGGACTCTTTAGATGAAGACATTAAAAAAAGACTTTTATAAGTATTTTTAGAGCCAGCATCTTGATGTCTGACAGCAGTTTTTGACGAGGCAGCCCGCTCATCAAAAGATGAGGCCATTTCCGACTGCTTTTGCCGAGGCCATCATGGGTGCACTGGTCAGAGGTCTGACAGTGTTTTGACAGGAGGGAAATGTTAGTCTGGCACACAGGCTGGTGAATGCTTTGTAGCACAGTGACAAGATTCTTGACAAACCATTTCAATCCTTGCCGCCTCCCTGACCCCACACAAATAAATATGACCCAACACAAATGACATGTCCCCGCTCAATTCCTCCCATCTTCTATTGTGCTAACACGAGTGCCGTTTCCGAGGACAGCAACGTGAACACTTGATGGTAGTTATTCAACCACTCGGGCACCTCTTGCTCCACCTCTTCCTATTGCTTCAGTGTAGGAAACAGCTTTGATCTTTTGTTCAGTCGAGGGGAGAGAAAAGTGGGCTTCCCATTTTCCAATTTCTACCTGCCAAGTGGCGCCACAGCCACAGTTTGTTGGCCAGTCAATTTGCCAATCATAGCACATAGTGTCGGAGAGGAAGAGGACAGTTTGTGTAAGCATGTCTCGCAAGGCCAGGGCTGCTCGCTGGCCCTGTATATTTGCTGTGGTAATACATGTAGAGACCTAACAAAGGAGCTTTTCAAGTTGCCTGCTGATGCCGAAGATAAAGAGACAAAAAAACCATCCTAGAGCAATGTGTGCGCAGATACGTGATCGACTGTGCATTTGTGTGTATCCATTGAAGCGTGTGCACCTTTCCTCTTCACGGTGTGAGTTTTCTGTATGTGTGCATGCATAAGTGAATGGAAGCAACTTTGGAGTCTATGATTCCAGGTGAACCACAGGAAAAACATTTCTCTTAAGAAGTGTGCTCGCCACCCGGCCCACTTTTATGGAAGTAGAGGTGACACTTGAAGCATTCATGTAAAATAACTGCAAATTGGATGAAAGCTCTGGATGTTGAAAGGAAGGCTTTCAGTGCATGTAAAATTAAAATACTATGAGGCAGTTCAGAGTAAGTGCAAATATATGCGCCTTACTGCATTTACAGTGGATATTATTGCTCAAATAAGTCAGGAATCGGGAATCTGGCACAAAAAAGAGACAAAGAAGAACCAAACATTTTTAAGTCTTACCTCGGGACTTCATGCCGATGAAACGGTTCTCTACAATGTCTATCCGGCCCACTCCGTGTTTTCCCCTAAGAGATAAAGACAAGACTGTTGGATAATTTCTTGACCTTGAAATTCCCTTCTATTCAATCTGTGTGACATTTTGGGCCTCTCTGCAATAAATCAGAAATAAAAATATTTTGAAATATTTTACATTTTTACCTGCCCGAGTCACCTCATACATTTTAGCTGGAGTTCATCTGTACTGAATACAGCCTGTCGTTTGTTCACCTCAGCTTGTATTGTACCAGGTGTCCATGCCTGTTTACTCTGAATGAGGCTGTAAAACAGTGAATCCCACTTCTATCTGATGACAGCAATGCTGAGGTGAGTTTTTGAAGTTATGCTGAACTTTTCTATCAGTGAGCGCTTCCATTAGCTGCTGTTAGAGAAACTTTCTTTGAAGTGGCTCACACACTTAGTGAACAAACTCTGATATGATGTGAGAATGTAACCAAGCTATTTATCAGAAGGAAAGGGCGATTTTTAAAATACTCGAGCCTAACATTACCTGGAAGAACATTCGCTGTTGTTTTATGTCTCCAGTCCGGAGGGCTGCAATAACTAACGATGGCGGTACCAGTAATAAATAAGCATGTTTACCCATATTTTCTTTTGTTAGACCCCTGACTTGAGTTCAGGAGTCTTGGCTGAGGCTGAAGGTGATGAGAAAGAGAATGAGGGAGGAGAGAGAGCAATGATGGCTGAGGCAGATGAAAGAGAGGAGGCGGAGAAAGAGATAATGAGAAACAGATAATGAAATGTAGAAATATTAAATGGTCATATATAGTTTAAAAGACCTACTCATGATCTTTAAATTAACACTTGACACTTAGGTGTTTTAATTGTTATCAGATTTCCCTTTTCCTTCGGAATTC